TGATGCTGCTTGGCCTGCTGTGTTCATCCAGCTCTATACCTTCTTATCTCAGTAAGCAGGTAGATACAAGAATAAGCACAAAATAAAAGCGCAGGTATCTTGAATAAACAAGGCAACAGCACTTGTGTACCTATGGAAATTCAAAGCCTAACCCAGCAAACCATATCTTAAAATCTAATGTGGTGCAGGTCTCTGGCAGCAGTACATTACATAGAAGTAAGTTGGAAGGCTAGGTATGAGGACTAGCCTTGAGTCAGAGTGGATTACTTGAGCAAAATAGAGAGTTATGTGTTGGACAGGAGAGAGCAATAATGAACCCAACACTGAACTCCACTGTTTGCATCCTTCCAATCCAAAAAAAAAATTGTTTAACTAATTTCTTGTCTAACTACCACATTTTCCTTCATGTCTTGTGGCTTAATTGTACGGTCCTCTCTTGTCCAAAAGTTGTGGTTCTGAAAGTTATAGTTTTAACTGAAATGAATTAAAGTGAACCATTGATATCAACGCTAATACTGAAGCTAGGTTGCATAGTATTGTCCTTAGCCAGGCTGAATCACTTGTGCCTGTCATCCAGATGGTGAGGGGAAGGGAGACATAGTTAGGGCCCTGCAGCTGTCTGGATTGCTCCTGGGGACAGTGGTACTCAGAATTGAGAGGAGACATAGTGGCATCCCAACGGTCATTGTCGGGCAACTTCTACAAAGTGCCAGCCAAACCACAGCTCCGGCAGGCAGACTGGCACCTAGTAAGTGTGGGTTTCCTGATACAGGTGTCTAGCAACAGTGCATTATGTGGAGAGAGCACAATTTGGAGAGCTGGGTATGGAGAGCAGCCTCGAGTCAGTGTGCAGTGCCCAGACAAAATGGCACCAATAAGGCCAGGTGCAATAAATCTTATGAAGTACAATGATATTTCAGGTCCCAATAATTTAGCAGTGTAAGGAGAAGCAATGCTAAATGGACAATGTTAAACAAGGACTTCCTGCATTCAATAATCCTCCTATAAGTACATTATAAAATCTTTAATGATACTTTTGAACCTTGATGGTGTCTGTTGTAAGGGTCTTTGTTAGCTGACTCCTTTGGATTTGTAAACTTGTGATTACCTCCTAATAATAATTCATTTAACAGCACGCATTATCTGCAAATACCTCCGTAAAAGGTACTGCATTATATCTTTGCAATGCTATTATAATTCATATCTAAAAAATAGTTCTTGGCTAGATCTATATCATCATCCTGTGCATTTCAAAGTAATATTTTGAATACCAGGTCCCCTTATTTGTGTTCCTCCACATTTACAGTAAGTATGAATGATGTGAGCAAAGGACGTACCCATCAGCATGTGAGCAGTGAAGAGGATTGAGACAGGCTGCCTTCAGATGGCACTGTTTAGAACCTTCCTCGAACCTGCATAATCTTCAGGGATAGACAGTGCAGGTGCGGACGTTCCATGTTCCTCTGCCTGGTAACAGTTGAAAGTGGGGAAACATATGTACAACACATAACATATAGTGGACGTTTGTTAAAATATGAATCAATATACTGAAAATCTGCTTCTAGAGCAGGGTTCTCATGGCTCCTAAATGATCCCAGAACGTTCTCCAAATCATGTTTTTGGCTTTTCCTTTGATGTCAGAAAGTTTTCAGAACTACATGTTGTTTTTCAGCCAAAGAGTCACCAAAGTTTCATTCTCTGACCAGATATGTGGCTTATAATATAAATATTAATTATACTCGAATGCTCTGGTCTTGAGCTGAAATGTAAATAAGTATCAAGGATCTCAACATCGATGATATGGCATCTTACAACTTTTAGAAAAAGATTTAGTTTTATTGTTGGAAGGTTAAATGATCAAGAAAGATTTGAGTGCAATTTCGGTGAAAGTGGCATGGATAAAGAGAGAAATAATGAAGAGAACAGAGTCTTCAGTTAACATTGTGATCTTTATACTCCATATCAAGATAGAATCTTTGTACAGTAATTGAACTCATGCAAGTTGGTTCATTATTGTAGTACTGCTGTTTTCAGTGTCAAGGTCCATGATTGGAAACAAGCTAGTTGGGAATTTTAAAAACTGTCGGAAGATCAAAAATGAAGTAGAGATACAATAAGAAAAGATACAAAGAAAATAAATTTAACATCTTCCTCTGGTGTCAGAAAGGTTCAACTAAATGAATGAAGAAAGTAAGAAAATACACCATAGTTTGCAAATGTTTTCATCTATTTGACAGCAAAACAGTGTTGTTAGTATAAGGATGTAATGAGGTATTCTGCAGTGGTATGTTTATTTTTAAATAACTTGCACCTTAATTGCATTCATATTGTTTTCTATTTCTTACACGTTTTTCCAAGAATTAAAAGCAACCATAATCCTCCATTTTGACTTTTTTTTAGGTTTCATTGCTTCTGACATGACATCAAGGAATTCTAGCACCCAGCTTTGGCTCATCACACATTATCATGAGAACGGTTCACTCTATGACTATTTACAGCGAAATGCAGTGGACACTGTAGTTTGCTTGAATTTTGCTTTATCTATAGCCAATGGTCTGGTGCACATCCACAATGAAATTTTTGGAACTGAAGGAAAGCCTGCAATTGCTCACAGAGACCTGAAAAGCAAAAATATCTTAGTAAAAAAGAACCTGCACTGTTGCATCGCTGATCTCGGTGAGTACTAGCCCTTCAACCTCTTCATTTTCAAAGAAAGATTGATTTGGCATACGTGCTGTATTAATTGACATGTCTTTTTGTAGGGTTAGCAGTGATGCACTCTCAAACCAACAATCAATTAGATGTTGGGAATAATCCTAAAGTGGGTACCAAACGGTATATGGCTCCAGAAGTACTTGAAGAATCTATTCAAGTTGACTGTTTCGATGCATACAAACGTGTGGACATCTGGGCATTTGGACTTGTATTGTGGGAAGTGACTAGGAGGACATTCAGTAATGGTGAGTGTTATTAAGCTATTATTTTGCAAGTACCTGTTCAATAACAAGGCTAAACTTCTAATTCACATCGAGTTCAAGTAAAATGAACCAGTTTAAATGCTAACTCTTTTGCTTTAACTACACCAAATAGTCCAGTGTTTAAAAATATTTCATGTTTAACTTTTACTTAGTTCCCAGAGTTGCAGTATAAATAGTAGCCTTCTCAATAATTTAAAATTTCAGACAAGTAGTTTCTACCTAGTGTCTATAACTGGGATGAATTCTAAAAGATCATCATCTTGAAGGAACTTCTGGCTGTTAACAGCCACTGCCCTTAAGGGTTCCAGCTCTTCTTCCACCACTACCACTGAAAATTCACTAGTTGCTCCTTGGCTTTGGCTCATAATGTTGAGTATGGACCAGGGTGACTTGCAAAAGAGCAGATATAGTCTCAAAAGATCTTGCTTTTCTGGGTTCTGGAATATTACAAATGTAAAGCAAGGGCTTACACAGTGGGTGTTTCTGCAGTCAGCATGTTTAAGTATTTAATTGAAGAATGGATGCAGAAAAAAAAGAGAATCTCATTTGTACAGCATTTTTCGTGTCTCCAGGATATCCCAAAGTGCTTTGTAGCTTGCTGAATTACACTTCAGTAATTTTTTTTATTCTTATGTAGGATACGGGCATTGCTGCCAAGGTTAACATTTATTGCCCAACACTAAATACCGCACAGAAGGTAGTGGTGGGCTGCTGCCTTGAACCTCTGCCTTCTAAGGGAGTAGGTGTACCTGCAGTGCTATTTAGAAGGGAGAGTTGTTTCATTGAAAAAAATCACCCAGCCTTGCACATATCAAGGTCCCATAAAGAGTAATTTTATGATTAGATAAACTATTAGCGATAATGTTTGAGAGTTAAATATTGGTCAGAGTGAGAGGGAGCCAAAAATGATGCATAGTGATCGATATTGACAATCCTGGAACCCAATCTTTATGCATCCATACTTGTGCAGTTCTGGCTGGTGTTAGCAATTGAAAATCTGGCCTAATTTTCTTCAGATTAAAGTTCAGTTTTGGTGTCTCTAGTGTAGTCTTGGTGCAATCACCAAAGGCAGCACAAAATTGAAATCAGATTTGTGTTTGTGTAATTATCCTGAGTAGATCAGCCACTCAATGATTAAACCCACTCTGTCATTGAAAACTGTGGAAGTATCTGTTCCGTCCTTGGCAGCTGTCCATATTTTAGAGAAGGGGCATATCAGTGGCACTTTGTAATGCAATATCTTTCAGCCTTTTGGTTCAGACCAAATGTTAGCTCCAAGTTGTGAATCATTAGAGAACACCAAGATCATCGCTGTATTGTGATTGGATGTTGGAGGACTACCACTTAAGCTGAGCTGCTATTGGTAGATCTTTATGCTGGCTTCGGCCTAATGCCAATTCAGTGTCCAGCCATCCAGATCTGTGATCACTGCAAATACCCAGGCCAGGGTGTTCAGAATGACTGTAGAAGGTGGAGGAAGGAAGACAAGTCGATCGGATCTTCTTTGTGAAGAGGACCCTCCTGGATTGCTGTGGGTTCCAAGTAGTGGATATCTTCGGTCTGCAGGATTTCCCAGCCGGGTATATTTCAATGCCTTCTGGAGCATGAAGTAATGTGCAGAACATCTGAAGGTATTTGAGGAGAAAGGAGGTGAGACCCCTGTTTCTGTCTTGTCTGAGGCACCATTGTTCTTCTTCCCGCCCAGAGGAGCTAGATTGTTACAATCCATATGTACAATCCTATGTCCCAGCAGCAGATGTCCTGACCTTCCTAGGAAAGTGCATATAACTTGAAGGAGGCAGCACGGACATAGTCAACCTTTTTGGAATCTGGACCAGCACGCCGTAGGTCAAGATGACCCTGAAGGTGGATGCCAGTGGGAACATCCTCCATCTGCCCTCTAGCTTTACTATTGGATGGAGCCAAGGCCACTTAATACATACGTGGGACAGCCTGGAGTGTGGCAAACCTGCGGTAGGGCGGGCCCATGGGAGCTGAACAGCAAAGTGACCTCTACAGGAACTGTAAATGGGAGAGGCACCTGACCATGGACTGCAAAGAGACCAAGTGCTTTAACCTATGTTGGGATGGACGCCATATGTACAAAGCCTGCTCAAGATATATATGTGTGTGTGTGTGTGTGTGTGTGTGTGTGTGTGTGTGTGTGTTGGGGGTAGCGTCACATAGGCACAAATGGCCTGTAGTGGCAAAACAAGCAGTGGACCATAAAAGGCTGTAAGATACCGCCCTCCAGTAAGACAGTTGAGAAAAAGGACAGTCAGAAGGAAGGCAAGACTCGCAAGAAAAGAAAGGAAGATGCTCCAGAGAGTGATAAACTGACTGAACCTCCACCTAAGAATAGAGAGTCAATGGAGGAGGAAACAGTGAACAAACAGGGTGTGTGGCAGGTGGTGAGGAGAAACCCCAAAAGGAAAACCCTTCAGTCACAAAGGCCACCACAGGCCAGCAGCAGAGGGAGCTGCATAAAGGACACACAGGCAATTCCAATGCATTTTCCTCTCTGCAAAGATTGTATTAAAATGACTTGGAACCTTGCATATACTTACAGATGATTTTATGAATATGGTATTTTTGTCAAATAAAAAAATATCTTTCAGCAGTTCTTTAGAATGGTCTAGAAAGCACATGATGTTGCTTTCCAACTTGACCTTTCACAAACACTAGGAAATAATATTCAACTAGACTGTGGACTTTTTCACAATTGTTTTACATCATCAAACAGCAGGTTAAACTGGATGAATTGTCTCACCCAAATTCTGAGGCATTGCCCACTTTAAGAACCTTGGGGATTAACTGCTGTGAGAACCCTGAGGCCAGACTTGTCACCCCTGTGTGAACACTGTGGAGCAGGAGGAACACAGCAGGTCAGGCAGCATCAGACAAACGGGAAAGTTGACATTTCGGGTCAGGACCCTGATGAAACACTCCTAGTTCCTGTTCCTGTTCCTGGTTTCCGTTCCTCTGATACTACCTGATCTGCTGTGTTCCTCCACCTCCATGCTGTGTTGACTCCAACATGTGCAATTCTTGCTATACCCCCATGTGAATCCCAGGTACCTGGTGCATCACCTGCTTTAAGAACCCCTGTGGTTAGGGCACTGCTCATGCAGAGAATCTGCCAGGCTTTTCCCAACTTGAGAACATTGGAAACCGGGGCTTCAACCACTTGGAGAAGCTTGTGATGTCACACACCATTGGACTTTTTGGGTTTGCCCTATGCCGTTGAAACTAGGAGTGCTCAGAAGTTTAATTCTTCCTGCTTTTGTAGGTATCGCTGAAGAGTATAAACCTCCATTCTATGATCTGGTACCGAATGACCCTAGTTTTGAAGATATGCGAAAAATTGTATGTGTGGAACAGCAAAGACCAAATATTCCGAACAGATGGTTCTCGGATCCTGTGAGTTTGATACAGTTTTTTTTAAGGTTTTGGAGTAGATTTGTAGCTTGGGCTGTGGGTGTTGAGGTTGGTTGGCTCGCCGAGCTGGTTTGTTGTTCCGCAGGCGTTTCGTTACTGTGCTTGGTAACATCCTCAGTGCAGCCTCTGATGA